GCCCCGAAAGTTTGGGAATTGCGCTGGTTTGGACGGGGAAAAATTCCCGGGGGGTTCGGGGTTGTTGTTTGGGGTTTTTTTTTCCGACTCCTTTTGGGGGCAAAGAATTCCCGGAACTTCGGGTTTTTTTGGGTCGGGTTTCTGGGGAAAAAAATTCCTAAAAACGTCGTTTTGGGGCTGGATTTGAAGGGGGGGGGGAGGGAAAGAGTGAAAAGTTTGTTTTTCTCCTTGTTTTTCACAGGAAAAATTTCCCAAACTTCACTTTTTGGGCTCCATTTCACGGAAAAATCCCTAAAACTTCACGGTTTTGCCGGTTTTCACAGGAAAAAAAAATCCTTTTTCCTCATTTTCAGGCGAAGGATCCCCAAAACCTCCATTTTTGGGCTTGATTTTTATGGGAAAACTCCCTCAACCTTCATTTTTTCCCTCATTTCACGGGAAAAGATCCCTCCAATCTCATTCCTCTCCTCATTTTTCCAGGGAAAACCCCTGAAATCCTCATTTTTCGGGCAAAAATCCCTGGAACCTCCTTTTCCCCCCCCCCCTCGATTTTTCCAGGAGAAAGCCCCCAAACCTTCATTTTCCACCTGGATTTTTTGAGGGGAAATCCCTGAAAATTTGAATTTTTCTGCTCGGTTTTCCACCCCCACCCCCCGAAATCCTCCTTTTCCCGCCCCATCCGAGGGTTTTTCGGGCTCCCGGTGGGAATTCCCCCCTCCCCCTCCCGCTGAGCCGCTCCCTCTTCCCGCTGCTTTTCCAGCCTCTCCCTGCGGATCCCCCGGGGGGCTCCGGGGGGTTCCTTTCTCCCGGGATCCCTGCGGATCCCTCGGGAATATCCCACAAACCTGGAAGGGTTTTTTACCCCCTTCTTCCTTTGGGATCCCTGCTGAGCCCTTGGGAATATCCCAGGAACCTGAAGAGGTTTTTTACCCCCTTTTTCCTTTGGGATCCCTGCTGATCCTTTGGGAATATCCTGGGAAGCCGAGGAGGTTTTTTTCCCCCCCATTTTTCCCATCTGACCTCTGTTGATCCTTTGGGAATATCCCGGGAACCTGGGAGGGTTTTTCCCCCCATTTTTCCTTTGGGAATATCCCGAGAACTCAAGGAGGGGTTTTTTTCCCCCATTTTCCCTCTCTTGATCTCTCCGGAACATCCCAAAATCCCAGAGAGTGATTCCCCCCTTTTTCCCCTCTCTTGATCCCTCTGGAACATCCCAGAACCCCAGAGTGGGATTTCCCATTTTTCCCCTCTCTTGATCCCTCCGGAACATCCCAAACTCCCGGAGGTTGATCCCCCCTTTCCCCCCTTTTCCCCCCCCGTGATCCCTCCCCCCCCTCCCCTCCCGGGGGTGTTTTTCCCGCCCTCCCCTCTCCCTTTTCCCGGCGTTTCCCCCGTTTTCCCCCCGGGATGCTGCGCTGGCTGCGGCGGCGGCGCCGGAGCCGCTCGGGGCCCGGGGTGGCCCCGGTGACGGAGAAGCTGAAGGAGCTCTACAGGGAGAAGCTGCTGCCGGTGGAGAAGTTCTACCGGTTCCAGGAGTTCCAGTCGGCGCCGCTGGAGGAGGCGGATTTCGACGGGAAGCCGATGGTGCTGGTCATGGGCCAGTATTCCAGCGGGAAAACCACCTTCATCCAGTACCTGCTGGAGCAGGAGATCCCCGGCGCCCGCGTGGGCCCCGAGCCCACCACCGACTCCTTCGTGGCCGTCATGCACGGGGACACCCCCGAGCTCATCCCCGGCAACGCCCTCGTCGTCGACCCCAAAAAACCCTTCCGCAAGCTCAGCCCCTTCGGCAACGGGTTCCTCAACAGGTGGGTGGGAGGAGAGCCCAAAACCCCCCCAGAACCCCCCAAAATGCCCCCAAAACACGGGGACACCCCCGAGCTCATCCCCGGCAACGCCCTCGTCATCGATCCCAAAAAACCCTTCCGCAAGCTCAGCCCCTTCGGGAACGGATTCCTCAACAGGTGGGTGGGAGGAGACCCCAGAACCCCCCCAGAACCCCCCAAAATGCCCCCAAAACCCCCCAAAACACGGGGACACCCCCGAGCTCGTCCCAGGCAACGCCCTCGCCGTCGACCCCAAAAAACCGTTCCGCAAGCTCAGCCCCTTCGGGAACGGGTTCCTCAACAGGTGGGTGGGAGGAGAGCCCAGAACACCCCTCGAGATGCCCCTGAAAGCCACCAAAACCCCGCCAAAATCCCCCCAAACCCTCCCAAACACCCCCAAAACTCTCCAAAGACCCCCTAAAACACCCCAAAACCACCTCCAGAATTCCCTAAAACCCCCCAAAAAACCTCACCAAAACACCCCCAAAACAACCCCCAAACGCTCCCAAAAAAACCCAAAACACCCCAAAACACCCCCAAAACAACCCAAAACACCCCAAAACAACCCCAAAACTCCCCCAAAACACGGGGAGACCCCCGAGCTCATCCCCGGCAACGCCCTCGTCGTCGACCCCAAAAAACCCTTCCGCAAGCTCGGGAACGGGTTCCTCAACAGGTGGGTGGGAGGAGACCCCGAAACACTCCCAAACCACCCCAAAATGCCCCCAAAACTCCCCCAAAACACCCCAAACCCCCACAAAAGTCCCACAAAACACCCTCAAAACATCCCTGACACGCCCTCAAAACCCCCAAGCCCACTCCATGACACCCCCAAACCCCCCAAAACCCCCCCAAAGCTCCCCCCAAACACCCCCAAACCTCCCCAAAACACCCCAAAACTCCCCCAAAACCACCTTAACACCCCTCCCAAACACCCCAAAACTCCCCCAAAGCTCCCCCCAAACACCCCCGAAGATCCCCAAAAACCCCCCCAAAACCCTCCAAACCCTCCCAAAATTCTGTCAAGACCTCCCCAAACTCCCCCAAAACTCTCCCAGAACACCCCAAAAAAAACCCTCTAGACCCCCCAAAATTCCCACAGAACTCCCCCAAAACACCCCAAAAATTCCCACAGAACTCCCCCAAAACACCCCAAAATTCCCACAGAACTCCCCCAAAACACCCCAGAACCCCCCAAAATTCTCGGGGGGGCCCCGCCCAGCCCCCCCTCCCCCCCCTTTTGGGGCTCCCCCCCTCCCTGGATGACCCATCCCTTTGGAATTCCGCCCCGGCCGCTGCCAAATCCCGGGAAAACAGCCGGGCAGGCGGGGCCGGGGGGGTCCCCGCGCTCTGGGGGGGTCCCCAAACCCCCGGGGGGGAGAATTTTGGGGGGTCCTGACCCCCCCCCGCCCCCCCCAGGTTCGTGTGCGCCCAAATTCCCAACCAGGTCCTGGAGAGCATCACCCTGATCGACACCCCCGGGATCATGGCCGGGGCCCAGCACCGCGTCTGCAGGGGTAAGGGGGGGCCCCAAAAACAGGGGGGGGGCCCCAAAAAACGGGGGGGAGCCGGGGGGGCCCCCAAAAAACGGGGCGTGCCCCAAAACCCCCCCCCGGAGAGGAGGGAGCCCAAAATCGGGAACGTCGTCCCTAAAGGAAAAGGGGGGGGGAGGAGCAGAATTTGGGGTAAAGGGGGGTCCCAAAAATCCGGGGGGGGTCCCCAAAAATCGATTTGAGGTTTTTGGGGGGATTTGGGGGTGTTTGGGGGGATTTGGGGGTGTTTGGGGGGAATTTGGGGGTGTTTTAGGAGTTTTTTGGGGGTGTTTTAGGAGGATTTGAGGGGGTTTGGGGGGGTTTCGGGGGCGTTTTGGGGGCATTTTGGGGGGATTTTGGGGTGTTTTGGGGGGATTTGAGGTTTCCGGGTGTGCCCGGGGGGTCCGGGGGGGGTTCCAGGTTGTTTTTTGGGGCGTTTCGGGTCGATTTTGGGTCCCCGCCAAGAATTTGGGGTGGGGAAGGGCGGGGTGGGGCCCCTCCCCCCCCGCAGCATTCCCGGGAATTCCGCCAAATTTCCAGGAGGTTGCGGGGGCCCAACCCCCCCCCGGGACCCCCCGGGACCCCCCCGGGACCCCCCGGGCCCCTCCCCCCACTTCCTCCCCCCCCAAAATCTGCCGCGGCTGCCAAAGGAGGGGGAAAAGGAGGGAAAGGGGGAAAAAGGGGGAAAGGGGGGAAAAAGGGAAGAAATGGAAGGAAAAAA